CACACACACACACACACACACACACACACACACACACACACACACACACACGAGACTGAACCTCAGAGTGAACGCAGCAGAGATGGAGGACAGCTGAAAAGCTGGTGAAAATCAGAACGGAGCAGAAACATGGAGCATTGTGTCACTGTGCAGTTATGTAGATTTGAGTAAACAAACTGCAAAGTGTTTGAGGTTTTAATTAACATTTTTTGACAATCATTTTATCTGCAGTAACCCAATATTAACAACATCTGCAAAACAGATGCAAGCACTTTGGAAGCTTTGCTCCAGCTCTGTCCTCGAACCCCCATCAACAAAGGATGTTTTGCTCAGTGGCACTGAGGTATAAACCATCCACTTGCAAAATTACGAGTCAAAGTGTACCTTATTATCTTCTACATTTGGCATGTCAGCTCAGTACAGCCTTTTATCCTTCTGTTTTCATCTAATGTCCAATTTCAAAGACAAGCCAAGAAATAGCAAAATGTGAAAAACAAACTTCAAACCCCTGGTGATTTGTTACAGCACGCTGCCTCACACCCAGAGGCGGGGAGAAACTGGAAGCATTTTCATTTACATTAGCATTAGTGGTTCTGATTGTCATAATGGAAACACTATGATGCCTCCTGGATAACAGTCAGTGTTGATGAAGGCAGGGTTTGGTTCTAAAACAAAACAAACACTAACACACTCTCAGATATTAACACACACACACACACACACACAGAAAACCCCTCCCTGTCTGAGGCCCGGCCGCACTCACGTCTATGGAATCAAACACAAACACTTTCATAACGTCAGATTAATAAAAACACAAATATCTCACTCTAAACTTAAATTACCAACTGTATTTTTTGGCAGGAGCTGCTTTTGCTCTAAACCCCCTCGAAACAAACAACAACCAGAAAGTCAAAGTAGTAATACACAGCATATTCAAAACATCTTTATACAGATCTGAACACTTTATGARAGCATTAGAAATCTGCTGCACCCAAGAGAAGTCGTCATTTTAAATGACAAGCTGTTTTTTATTGAGCTGCCTAGTAAAATAAAACTTATTATTATTATTACCTGTATTTACATAAATACAAACATGCATTWGCAAATCCTTATATCACAATCATAACACATGAAGCTAAAAGTCTAAAATGTAAATCAAAAGTGATTAAAAACAAAATAAAATACTGTACTGTAAGGACTGAGCATYCAAGGCTAGAATGGCAGATGTCTTCAAAACAAGCCTGTGAAGATTCTTAAAACAATCCCATTCAAAACAGMATTAAGCTCCTAAAAGAAATGTAACCTTTTTGATATGTTTACCTAAAAACACAGGTGAGCTAGTTCACACAAGTAGTATMTATGACTGCACATATTTTATGAACTATAACTGAGCTAAAATAAAGTAKATACTTGAAATAAGCACAGTTCTCCCACAGTAAAATTCAAGCACTTTTCAAGGTAAATTTCCAAGACTTTCCAGCACCAAACTTCAGAGCAGTCTCTGCCTGTCTCCAGAGAGCTTTATAACCACAACACACACAGTGTTCTCTATGTGAAGGGAACCTATCAACATGCTAAAATACTGAGCTGAACACAATTCTGCAATTTAGTATTAATAGGAAASGGACCTTCAGGAAGGAGGAGGCCAAGGGGCATCAGAGGCACAGCACACAATGGAAGCCACGGATACTTTTGTGTAATTAAACCATTTGTTATGATGACGAGGAGAGATGATCCCAAAATCCAGGCGAGGTAAGAGTTTTAAGAATAATATTTATTATAAAAATAAAGCAAAAGCTGTCGTGGCAGCAAAAACAACAAGGACGACAAGGGGACCGTAACCGAAGGTAAAAACCAATAAAATAACAGACTGACAAAAACACACAACCTCACACCATTAGCTGAACTTTACTACCATTTTCAATAAAAGTATTCTGTTGTTGCAAATTTTAAGCTACAGTAGATGAGCTAAAATTCTAGCTCCATCCAACCTTCAAACAATCAATTTACAATTTATCTGCTGTAAGTTAGCTTAGCATCACGGCTCGAGAGCACCGACTCTCCCATCGTAAAAAGCTGCAGGTCCTGTTTGAATCTCTTGCAGGAAGCTACTTCAGGATTTGGTCCTTGTTTCAGCCATGTTTTGAATCGAGTGTTTTCCAACCAGCAGTTCTTAAAAACAGCAACCAGCTGGTGTGCTGTTTTCTCCCGCTCACCGGAGGCGTGTGAGAGTAAAGGGCTCGACACACGGGAGGCAACGTCGCTCACTCTCCATTCATTTCCTATGGAGCCTGTGCGGTGAGGCGACAATCACTTGCCCTCCTCCAGCTAAGCGACCGGCGAAAATAGTGCATGTGAAATTTCACGCTCGTACACGTAGACGTGCACACGCGAGCTTGCGACGCGACATATGAAAGTTGAAAAATGTTCAACTTTTGTCGCTGTCGCTTAGCATACAACCAATAAGCGAGGGTTTTATTGACTGAACAATGAGCAGAGAATATGCTACACACTGCAGTTAGCTAACACTTTCACCAAGGGATTACT